AATTATTGGAGGAAAGATTGTTAGTAATATCAAAGACAATAGTGATCTATGCATAATATGAGACATTCAAGGGTGAACAACAACTGAAAACAGCATTGGAAAGCTATTGATCACAAAGGAATGCTTCGATATATATTGATAAAAGAAGATAGATTTGGAGCACAGACACAGGAACCATTTGAAGATGAATGATATGCTGCCATCGAAAGTGTTTCGTAGGAGGCATTTTTACTTGACTGGTCATTAGATTTTTGAATTGGTACAAATTTATTAGGAATTAAAACAATCAATGAAACTCTCAAGCGTACAAGCAATATTTCTTCTGATTTTTCTCTCTATTTATCTGATACATTTACTCGATATATTTACGCGCAGATGTCCTCTTGGAACCAACATAATTACATCAAACTGTGGACATTCACTAAATGTGTTTTCATCTCACAGTTATCATCGATTCATGTTGAGTTCTGTTGTTGAGGTTATAATCGAGTAAGCGAACCAGGCAAGAGAAAGAGAAAACAGACGATGAATGAGAGATTCAAATTGAACGAATATCTAAGCAGTTGAATCACTTGATGAATAGAAATTAGCGATCCATGTATCGAGCTCGTTCATATTGTAGCAGAAGCTTTCCGGATCAGGTTCTGCTTTAACAACTAATTTACCCTGGTAAATAACATAGTAACGAAAAGGCCAAGATCCGTAAGTGCTATGAAAAGTGTTCTCCATATTGTCGACAAGCATAGGCATTTCGAAATTGAACTTCTTTTTGCTTTGACGAGCATTCTCAAGTCGTTGTTCGAGTGTTGTTGGCTGATCTACACACGAAATCGTTTTACCCACAGGCCATTGATCGCGTGCATGTGCCTCGGCAATGTAAATCACCAATAGACCCATTCCTTTGGGCGTGTGCGAGTGAAATAGCGCGCTATAAGCAATAAATAAAGAGTGAATTTATGGATAATAGCTGAAATACATACTTCATTCGCTCAGCCGACGCCCGAAATGGAGGTCAGGTAGTGGAGCCAGCCAATACAATCGTAGGTTGGTTTGTTGAGATATGTGAAAAGAGAGTTGTCGGATGGCCTTCCATATTCAATAAATTAACGTCTCGAACAGTGTCACCACAATTGACAAGACCTTGGGTAACTTTATTGTACTTCACTAGAAATCAATGAACAAGGGAAAATATTATTTCATTGCTCTCCAAAGTTCAAACTTTATCGTTCGATACAGAAGTATTCGTAACTGGAATAGCTTCATTTGCACCGGATCGATTCATTTGAATAATTTCCAATAAAGACTTACCATAAAACGCTTCCTTGATGATAGGATCATCTGGAAAGCGATACAAAGCAGTACGTAATGCATTCACATGGTGATATCCGAAATGTTCAACGACATGTTGCTGAATGAGATCGTGTATCAAACTACAATATTATGGTAGTAGGTATTTAATGGGAACAAATCAACCATACTCACGTAACACTATCTTCATCTGTATGGTACAAGTCCATAAGCTCTTGAATGGGCTCGGATAATCGGAGACGTGTTTCAAACATAATCATGTTATGTAGTGTCTCGATCGGTGGTAGCTCATCTGAAATCTTCACTTTATCGAAGCCCATTCTACCTGAACTCGGGAAGAACATGCGGCACATGCGTCGTGAACGACGAGTGCGGGGTTTGGTTGGAGGTGGCTGTTGTGATAAGGGTGGAGAGGGCATAGGTTGTGCCGATGATCGGCTGTCGGCCATCAGTGGTAGCCCTTCGGCAGCAATAGCCGCCGTTGTCTTCTGTATAATAATAGCTTCGCGTTGTTGTTCAGCATTTGGTAAGTGTTGTTGATGTTTGTCAATGACTCCGTTGGACGGTATCGTGCTGCTCGACATCTTCTTTACCGTTTTCTCATGACATATAAGGAAGAAATGAAAAATAAGCACGTTTTATACGAGAAAAAGTGAAGAAAAAAGAAACGCAGAATATGTAATTGCACCATCATGTTGTTATATATACGCATAATGAAATTGCTGCGTGTGAAAGAGGCAAAAATGATTCATAACTAACGAATACATACTGTAAACTGTAGCGAATCGAACGACAATAATGGCGACATCTTCTTGATTAGTTTTTAACATGTATTGATTGATTCAAAATCCACATTTTCCTCGTAAAAGTTGCAGCAGTTTAACGAAATTTAACTTTTATTCATCCTAACAATAAGTACATAGTATCCTTTGTCATAATGAAAGACTGATCCCATTAGATTTAATGGGGATCCTTTCGTTCTGAAAGTAAGAGTGTGGGTACGGGTATGGTTTCTCTGATCAGCCACACCCACACCCTATAACTGACATTTGTTAGCGTAATGGTATCTGAATATGAAAGATGCTTATGCAGAAAATCATGAGTTGAACGAATTAAGGCTCAATGCATCCAATTGTGTCGATACACCGGTCTCCACCGTAGGTTTCTATACTCTTACCGGCTGGATCCTCCATCATATACCAAATTTCTAATGAGCATTTGCAAAAAAATACTTTATTAGTACAAGAGATCACTTCTTACTTGAAAATTACGTGCGCGAGTTTCTGGGATGTACCAGTATCACAAACACAGAAATACAATAAAAATTGACTGGTGCACCGTCACCATTGTATCCATAGCCACACCCACACCCACCTGTACTCACACTCTTACAAATATAAAATTGATAGTTTCCTTCAGGTTACCTAATCATCAAAGAATGGTCCATTTCTCGAGAAAAAAGATCTTCACAAGAACAACTGAAGAAACTTTAAGAATAAAATCAGAATATCATATTCCTATTGAACGTTATCGGAAGAAAACATCCAATTATCTTTGGTTTTTTACTGATTTTGAGTTTTTGACTTCATATTTTGGCTATAGGTAGGCTTGAAAAAGACGAAGAAAATCCTAAAGACGTTCTTATCCATAGGTTGCTCGTTCAAAGTTAAAGTTTGCGGCACGGCATCCACAGCAAAATCAAATGAAGATATTTTGATCTAATATTCTGTCAATAAAAGGATCTAATGATTCTTAGTATACACCAAAATTTCCAATTAAAGCGATTGCTTTCTTCTCAAAATATTCAATTTTCAAAAAACGTCTGAAAATTCAGTAAAATAAACTGGTTCACTCGTGAGAAATACGAACTGAAAACAAAAAAGTAGTTGACACGGATTCAACTTCTCCGAAACATATATTTAGTATAGTTAGTCAAAATGCGTTCCATCTTTGTACTTCACAAAGGAATGTCATTCGCTTTTTTTTGGCAAATAGATTCCATCACATAGTCCTCTTCCTATTTTTATTTCAAGTTCATTATTGAATGGAACTTTCAACCGTATTATTATCGATCATAGACATTATTTTCTCCAGATTATTTCTATATGTGGCAACGATTGATTCAGTTGAATTTTTTGCTTGTACTGCTAATTCTATTACAGTTTGAAAATAATCTCGTGCATGAGGCCAATCATTCAGTTTTACGTAAGTTTCGGCAAGTGCAGCACAAAACAGGGAATGTATTTCATATTCTTCTTCATTTAGAATACTATAAGACTTTCGTGTAAGTGTGTACAAGCTTGTTCATAATTACCAAAATCTCGTTGAATAGCCGCAATGTGGTGACGAGTAATTGCAATTTCTTTTCTATGAGCAGCTTGCCGATTCATATAACATTGCCAAGCAACAGTATAATGTTTTATTGCTAGTAAATTCTATTTCTTTCGATCATAGAGCATACCGAGATTATTGTGTAAAATGGCAGCAAATAGTGAGTTGCTATCGATTTCTTCTTCTAAGAGTTGTGTAAAATGCTTTTGACTGATGTCGAAGTAGCCAATGTGTCGAAACGTATCAACGATTGTCATATACAAGTCTTTATTGAGTTCTGTGCGTGGCAATTGTTCAATGCTATCGAGTGCCAATGTATAATACTCAACTGATCGTTCACCATTTCCGTTATGAAAGTAGAGTTTTCCGAGATTATTCGCATATACAGCAACCTTATACAGATCTGGCGGCATGCGGACTTTATATAGTTCGATGATTTTATGATGGAGACGGATCGATATGTCATTTATTTTGTTTTGCTTTGAAATGGAACATAGACTGACATAAATGTCTTCAC